GTGACTTGACCTTGGGTGGGCCAGCCTTGGGCTTGGAGCTGCGCTTGGACCTGCTGCGGCGCGTAGAGGTCGGCTTCCGTGTCCATGATGCAATAGCTGTGAACACGCTCGACAGACACCATTTGCGTCTGGATGGTCGAGAGCATGCGCACCGACCAGTTGAGCGACTGGGTTACTGAGAAGGCGTACGAGAGCGAGACGCCCGCGAGGCCCGCAAAGGCCACGCTGTTGTCGGCTTCGTGGCCAAAGACTGCAAACAAGGCCGCGGCCGTGGCGACGACCGTGCCCGCAAACTCGAGGCGGAGCGCGAGCCAGCAGTTGGCCGAGAAGTTCAGGAAGTACGCGCGCTGGTTGCGGTCGAGGAGCTCTTCGTTCCGCGCCGCAAACTGCGTCTCGGCGCCAAACGCCCGGATGGTCGCAATGCCCTCGAGCGTCTCGGTCAAGAGCGCGTAGATGGGCGACCGCGAGATCGAGTCGAGGCGCTGAAGTTCGCGCGATGTCTTGACAAAGAAGCGCTGCGACCGGTAGTACATGTAGCCGAGCGGGAGTAGCACAACGGAGAAGTACGGCGTCACGTACACGATGGTCGCGAGCGTCGAGATGACCGAGAAGAGCGTGCCAAAGAGCATGCCCCAGTTGGCCGGAATCGACTCGTCGATCGCGTAGACGTCCTTGGAGAGGCGGTTGACGATGCGGCCGAGCGGCGTCGTATCGAAAAACGACATGGGCGCGCGCAGCACTTGGGCGAGCAGCTGGTTGAAGAGCAGCTTCGAGCCGCGGAGACCGGCGAGGTAGAGCGCCATGATGCGCACGTACAACGTGAGCGTGTAGCCGGCGTTCATGGCCGTAAAGATCCAAAAGTAGTAGAGCTGGTCCGACTGAGACGACCCGGCCTGCTCCGACCAGTACGAGAGCCAGAACGTCGAGCCAATGTTGACGACTTGCGAGAGAATGTAGAAAAAGACGACCCAGAACGCCACGCCAAAGCCGCCGCACGCGCGGATCCACACCTTGTACGTCGCCCACGGCACGTCGCCCGTCGCGCGGTCCTCGTCGACAATCAAGTTGCCTTCGGCGCCGCGGTCGTTCTCAATGTCGCTGCGCGCCGACGACGTCCGCCGGCGCTTCTCAACGTCGACTGCGATCGCGCCGTCCACGTCGTCGACGACCTCGGTCTCGGGCGTCGTCGCCGCGTCGTACACTTCTTCGGCCGGCGCCTGCTGGACGCTCTGCATGAGTGTCGCCAGCACCCCGTTCTCGAGCGCGACAAGGTCGGCAAACGTGCCGTGCTCGGCGACCTTGCCGTCGGCAAGGACCACGACGGCGTCGCAGTCCTTCAAAAACTGAAGACCGTTCGTCACCAGCACCACCAACTTGCCCTTGAGCGCCGTCTGGATGCATTGCTTGAAGATGTCCGACCCCACGTGGCTGTCGACAGCTGCCAACGGGTCGTCCAAGAGGTAAATGTCGGCGTCTTGGTACACGGCGCGGGCGCTCGCGACACGCGTGCGCTGGCCGCCGCTGAGGTTGATGCCCTTCTCGCCAATCTCGGTGAGGTCGCCGCCCGGAAGAATCTTGAGGTCGGCGGCGAGCGAGCTGACGCGAATCGCGTTCTGGTACTTGGCGTGGTCGAACGGAAGGCCAAACGTGATGTTGTCGCGGAGCGTGGCGTTCTGGATGAACGGCTGCTGGCTCACGTACGCGATCGAGCCCTTGAGGTGCACCGAGCCGCTCGAGCAGGTCGCGTCGCCGAGGACACCGCTGAGGAGCGTCGACTTGCCAGAGCCCACCGACCCGACGACCGCCACGAGGTGGTTGCTGCCAAAGTTGAGCGAGACGTTGCGCAGAATCGGACCGTTAACCTCGGCGTCGGCCGTCTCTTGGGCCGTCGTCGGCGTGGCCGCGTAGGTAAAGTCGGCCTTGGAGATCGCAATGCCCACGTCCGAGAGGTGGCCGGCCGTCACGGGCGACCGCTCCTCCAAAAGGAAAAACTCGGTGAGGCGCGTGAACGACACTTGGGCTTCCACGAGTGAGTTGATGACGTTCGGCAGCATGAAGAGCGGGAAGCGCAGAATGTTGAAGAGCGCGAGCGACGTGAGTGCTGTGCCCACGTCCAGCGTGTTGCCGAGGTAAATGTACGCGGCAAAGGACGCGACGGTCACGAGCGACGGCACGCCGTTGAAGACAACGCTCGAGAAGGACCGGGCATAGATGTACGTGCGCAGGCGGTCGAGCTCGTTCGTGCGGAACTCCATGACGCGCGACGTAAAGCTGTTTTCCCAGGCCTGGAGCTTGATGACCTTGATGCCCGAGAGCACTTCGTAGACGACCTTGACGCGTTCGTCCTTGACCTTCATGAGGCGCTGCTGGAGCGACCGCATCATGGTCGAGATGGCGGCCGTCGTGGGAATGATGAGCAGCATCACGGCAACGCCCGCAAGGAACGCAACGCCGAGTTGGAGGTACAGAAGGTACGACGACACGACGATCTGGAAGAGCGCGTACCAGATCGCGTGCAGGTAGTTGGTGATCTCCTGGAGGCGCTGCGCGTCAATGCTCATGAGGTTCGTGATTTCACCCGTCGACCGCGCGCCTTTCGCTGACGCCGAGAGCACGAGCGACTTGTGGTACACGGCGGTCACGATCGCCGACCGAAGGCGCAGACCGGTCTCAAAGCAGTAAAAGAAATACTGGCGCAACGCGAACGACTGACCGACGCCCGAGACGAAGATGATGGCCGCGTACACGAGGCCTTCGTTGACGTCCGCGTCCGGGTTCGAGAGGAACTCGATGATGAGCTTGATCACGAGCGGTCCGACAAACTGCAGTGAGTCGTGGATGAGCTTGAGGATACCGGCGACGAGGAAGGGCGCCCCAAAGGCCTTGGAGAGCGCCCACCAGAGCCGCGGGTTGGGCTTGGCGAGCTCCGCATCCCAGTAGCGCTGAAAGGTCGCCGAGATGCGTAGTGCGCGGTCGCTCGGGTTGAGCTGGTAGAGGTCGCCAAATTCGAGCGGCCGCTGGTTGCCGAGGTCGAGGAGCGGCGTGAGCCATGAGAAGAAGACGGACGAGACGCAGCCGCCCATCTCTTCCGGGCACGTGTCGCCAAAGCCATCGTTCTTGACGAGCAGCGGGACGCGCTCGAGCTTGGTGGTCGGCGCCATGGCTGCAAATGCCAGAGTGAAACCAGTGGTCCCAACACACTCGTTCGCTCGCGAATTCGGTGGAACCTCCGTGATATATGAAGGCTGCAAACCGATCTGATTGGCGGTTCGAAAAACTTCGACGCGCTCTGATTGGCTCCGAGTCTGCACTTGCTACCGTTCGAAGCAACTTCGAAGCTGCGAGGGGCCAGAAATGGGAGGCGTCTCGCCGAAGCCGGCACGGGCAAACGTCAGTGAGAAGCCGTGAGGTCGGCAGCGGTAGCTGCTGCTGAGACGTTGGCAAGGGACCAAACTTTGTTGCCACTCTCGGTGTCCCCCATCGAGCCGGAAGGGACTCCCGATCACGCACCCATCTGGTAAATCACCGCGTTGCCAATGCCGTGTTTATTCGGCGATGGCGCTCGAGCCGAGCCCCGAGCCGAGCCCCAATGGCAGTCGATACATACAGTACCAGGTAAAGGCAGAGGAGCCCTCGCGATGGCTATCGCGGTCTGTGGGGTCGGCGCCATAGCAGTTGTGTATCGCAGACGGTTGGCATTGTCAGTTGAGATTGAACTCCAGATCGGTCCAACGTTTGCTTGAAGCACCGAGCCGCCCGTCCCACGGCGCAAGACAGGAAAAGTGACCGAAACTGAGTCTGAGCATGCACATTCAGTATGTCATACAGTGTTCGGTACGCTGGATGTGGTACAGTGTAGTAGCCGATGACGTTATGTGCTCTGAATCAAACGATCGTGCTCCATTTTCCATCTATTGTGGCCAAAGCAAGTACAAACAGTAGGAATCCTGTGCACTATTTCTCTTCTACTGCTAGTGACAGTTTGAGTTGAGGAGTCTTGTTGGTTTTAGATCGCAGCTACGTCATACGTCATCTACTCGTCGCCGTCGCGCCAGTGGTCGACGAGGTTGGT